GATTCACTATATTACCTATGTGTTTAGTTTATTTTCTTCCGGAGAGGTTCCATATCACCCCATATTTTAATTTTGTAATTCAATTAAGGAAAATTAGCATGCATGTAACCAACAAAAATTCTATAATTACAAAACTAACCAATTGCCCTAAATCTCATGGCTATAATTTTGCCATATAAAATAATTTTAGTTAGTTATTAAATTATTAATTTTTTTGGTTAATATGCAAATTAAGGTAACCCAAAAACTTACGTATCTATGTGTTTTTCTCACACAAAAAAAAAAAACTTACGTATCTATGTGTTAAAAATAAATTGACATGTCACCTAGCTATATGTCGAGAAACTCAAACGTATGGTGTGGCTCCACTTCCTTGATATGAGGTTAAAATGTAGAGTAAGTGTTTAGTCCGAGACGACGCAACAATACCATAAATTGACTTATATTTTACGTTAGTGATCTTATAATTGAATGAGATTTTTCTAATTGTTTTTGTCGATGGAGAAATTAAGAAGCGCTTTCACAGCGACGTGTTTTTTTGGGTCACGCACAGCGACGTTTTGACCAAAAAAGATAAAAGAAAAACAAAGATACCTACCTTTGAGGCCCAACACTCTTGAAGGCATAAAGGCCCAAAAAAGCCTCTTTACGTTACTGATCTTAGAATTGAATAAGATTTTCTTTTGATCGGTTCGGTTTAACATTTTCTGCTGGTTTAGTTTTGGTTATATATCTTGGTTAAGCTTGTATATACTAATTTCTAGTTGTATTGATAAGCTCAAAGTCTACTCTGAGGAAGTAGAAGAATCTGTTGGTAATTATCTCTTGATGCTGGTAAAATTACTTCATCGGCCGACGTGAAAGTAATAAGTAAAGTAAATAATGTTCAAATCTTTAGATCCAATCCAAAGCAATTATTATAATGACACACACACACGTCTCTTGCTTCTTTTTGGTACATAATTGTTTTAGCTATATTGCAGAGTCAAGAACAGTGCATGAAATTAAACACACAAATATTTTACAAACAAACAAGACAAGTAATACTCTTTTAAGTGTTTTTCATATCTTGAAGTTCGAGAGAAACGATGTTCCATCGAGGCCTTTCTCAAAGTAACCTTTTGAGTATTCTTTTAAATTGATGTCTCTGTATTTAGGAGGGTTTTCTTCAGAGAGAAGCTCTTTGATTGGTCCATAAACAGTTGAATTCGGAAGCATACTCGTACTGAAAAAGCTCGCTACTGAAATCCTCGGTCCAGCTTTGTTCGCAAGCACCCTATGCTCCACGCTTATGAATTCGTCATTCGTTACTATCTACATATCAAAAAGGTATCTCAGAATTCTCAACAAAGTTACATTGTTACTTTTTAAAAGCTAAAATAGAATGGATCAATGAACTTGCCTGCAAGAAATCTCCAATGTTGATAACGAGAGCCCCGGGAAGAGGAACGACATCGACCCAACAGTCTTGATGAAAAACTTGAAGACCACCAATTTGGTCCTGAAGGAGAATGGTGAGGAAGGAGTTGTCGGAATGCTTACTTGTGCCCAAAGCTAGGTCAGGTTGAGGACATGGAGGGTAATAATGGCAGAGCATAAGCAAACCCTTCATGCAATCCATACTTTTAAGCATCTCAGAGTTTAAACCAAGTGCTTCTGAGAGAAGCTTAAAGAGCAAATCACCCAAGCTCATCATATGCTTCGAGTATTCGATCATAGCATCCCTGAATCAACATGATGTTACAAATGTTAATATCCCACATCATATGTGGTAATGGACCAACACGAGTATATAGAAGATATGAATCAATGATTCCCCACATCAATAAAACTCAATGTTTCATAAGATTTCTTAATGAAAATCGAAATTACGTACCTACAAGCTATTGGGAGCTCTTCAGGGTTTGGAGGATCAGGAGCCATGTAACAAGCAAAAGTATCTCTCCAATTAACACATGAAGAAGAAGAACTGTAGAGATCGAAATTACTATTGTAGTTAAAGCTCTTGGATACGTCACGTGAGAAGTAAGATTTCTTAACCTCAAGATCTTCCTCATAAAACCTAACAACTCCATTTTTAATCTCTTCAAGAACACTTAAAGGAACACCATGGTTAATCACCTGAAAGAATCCCCACTTCTCTGCAGCGTCTTTGATCTTCTTCACAACGACTTCACGCGATACTGCGTCCACGTGGACGTCTGCAAAATCGATGATAGGGATTGCAAAACTCGAGGAAGAAACAGATGGTTTCTTGTCGGCTAAGGTACCTTGAGGAAGACGGAAGATACGAGGAACCTCAGTGATTTGAGCATCAACGAGACCTTTAACTCCAGCTTTTGTCTCGTCAAAAGCTTTTCGCTCGCTATAAGAATCGAACTCGAGCACCATTCTCAACCTATTTCAAGATTTCTCACAAAAGGCTACTTCATATACAAGAAGGAGAAGAAGGATTCTTGACTTTTATATAACAGAGTAGGAAGAAAAATGGATGATGTTTTCCAATTCTTGTGGACAATAATAATAGTCAACTTTATACACGTAAAAGATAAACTAAAGAGATTTTAGATCTTACAATTAATTAATTTTATTCTTATGAGATGAAGACGAGAAGATAGAACTGTGAGATTAGTAGATGTTGGAAATTTGGTCTTTGTTGTGTGGTCCTCGACAATGTCCGTCGATGACGTATGCTTGTTTATGTTGACTGGGACTGTAACTGACGTCAGCATTTTTTTCTTCTTTCTGGTCTAGAGATCTAAATATTTCGGTTTAAGTTGGTTCGGTTTTGTTATTTCTTTCCACCTTTTTAATAGAATGAAACTTTTTATTAAGAAAAACAAAAAAATTAAAGAGCAAAGCAGAGGAACCAAACATTAGCTTCCACCGAGAAAGATTCCGTCTCTCCGACGACAAACCAAACCAAGCCTGCGACTTTCAGACAGAGAGAGACAGAGAAAGATAATGGGTTTCTTCTCTTTTCTTGGAAGAGTTCTCTTTGCTTCTCTATTCATCCTCTCCGCTTGGCAAATGTGAGTGTTCTTTTTTCTTCCTCTCGTCTCGATCTGTTCTCCGGTTACACAGACTAGGGTTTCGTTCGATATGTTCTCTGGTTACACAGACTAGGGTTTCGTTCGATCTCTTCTTGGAAGAAAACTCTATCGGGTTAGATCCGATTTGTTTTGAGAACCTTGGCAAAACTGTTTGATTTGGTCTAAAGCATATTTAGGGGAAATTAATCTAAGGCTTGTTTGCTGAATCTAAAAGCTTGTTTTTATGTACTTTCTTCATTCTTGTTACGATTCAGATCTCTTTCTTGGTGAAGAAATTGATTCAAGTTTAAGGATACAGACATTGTGTTGATACCTTATTATCTCTCAATGTGTGATTTGGATTTACTCATTGTTGAGGACAAAGACAAGTTTTCCACTCTGATCTTCAAATTCTAAAGGAAGAAGAGTTTATGAGCAATTTATTAACCCTTTCATTAAGGCTTTTTAATAGAGTTAGCTCCCTAGAGACTGTGATATCTCTGTTTTTGATCCTTTTAATAGCCCTTTTGTTTATATGATTTTCATCTCCTAAGGATCTAGTTTTCGTTTTTCACTATCCGGGGTCTGATATATAGTGCATTGGTTCTGCCATTCCACCGCCAAAATACACCGTTTAGCTCTAAATTGGTGACGCATCTGTTTCCTTCAAAGTTCTCTGGTCACATGTGTACGTGCTTCTTAGATATTCCTGTTTTTTTATCATCTTACGATATCCGAACTCTGCATCTTGGTACTTGTTACTAGGTTCAATGACTTTGGAGGTGATGGTGGTCCAGCAGCTAAAGAGCTGGCTCCAAAGCTTGATTTGACCAAAGCACATCTCTCTTCCAGATTAGGAGTAGCATTACCCAACATAGAGGTATGGCCTCGTTTGTTGGTTGCTTAATTTTATGGTTCATTGTTTCCATGCCTCTCTTATGCTGTCTATCTTTACGTTTCATCTGACTTGGAGAATGAATTTTATTTTAAAAGGTGAAACAAGTTGTATGGACAATTATTGCTCTGAAAGGACTCGGAGGCTTACTCTTTGTTATTGGCAACCTCTTTGGTGCCTATCTTTTGGTTAGGACTTCTTCACTTTTGTTTGAAAAACTTTAAACCTTAGTTGTTGTATTGACTTCTATTTTCAATTCCTTGTTTCGTAGGCGTTCTACTTGGTGGTTGTTAGTCCCATTCTATATGATTTCTACAACTTTGGACCCGAAGACCGCCAATTCTCTCTTCTATTGACGGAATTCTTGCAGGTTTGTCTTTTACATGTCTTCATTTACTCGTTTTAGCCATGAGAGATGTGTTCTTGTTCTCTGAGCTGAACTTACTCTGAAAAAAAGAATGTTCCTTTATGCTGATCTTCTTCGATGAGTCTCTCATTCCTTGTCGTTGATGTTTTATCGCAGAGCGTTGCGCTTCTCGGGGCATTGCTATTTTTTATCGGAATGAAGAACTCGACGACGACCTCCAAGAGGAATCTGATGAAGAAGAGGACTCCCAAGCCGAAAGCTGCTTAAGAGTTCTTCTATTCTCTACCACACACAAGTCAGGCTTTAGAACAGCTTCTGATGTCTCCAAGCACTAGCTTCACTTTTCTCACTTGCAACTTTTGGTTCTTTTTCTATTATACGATTCTAGAATTAGCCACAAATTATATTTTATTAGCCTCGATTCAACTTTGGGATCTTAAAGTTTTCTTTCTTGGATGGATCATGCAAATTCTTTTCAGTGATTGTAAAATTTGGTTGAGAAGATTGTTTTTTTGGGTCATTGGTAAGAAGTAAGAACCGTCAAATAGTTTTATGTTCGAAACCTGTTATTTATGCAAATAATACTTTTCGGATTTTGGTTTCTTCAATTAATGAATTTTAAATAATACACTCTTTCTGAAAATTCGAATTTGATTTTATCTTATAATAGTTAGAAAATGAAATCCTGTGGACAAGCTTAATATGCGTAAATATAATACGATATCACATCAACAAATTTGTCATATCTGACTTGGGTTTTGAATAAAGGTTATTACTAAAAGATCTAAACCGCTAATTATTTTTGTGATAATTTTAATAAGAGATTTGATTAATTATTCAAAGACATATTTACCTTTTGTTTAAAACTAGAATATGATTCTTTCCATTATATGTGGCATACAAAATCTCCCATAAAATTAAATAGCTAATCAAGGACTGGTTAGTCTAAAGTTGGTGGTATACAGGGAAAAAAAAGGTTATATTATCTCTTTGGTCTAAAGTTCATATACGGTCTTTATCATTCTTTTTCTTTTAAAAACCATACAGGAATTTATTACACTAACAAAATTTACGAATAGTGCCAAACATACAGTACAGGACAATTAACTGGAAAATGTTTTGTCTGGAAAATATTATTATCCACTGTTATATACAAGAACTTGAATAAAATTAAAAAATTTAGTTTTGGTTATTATTTTTTCTCTTGAAATAAAACATAAAAGTTTTCTTTTGTTAATAAATAAACATAAAAGTTGGTATACTTTATGACCTCTTTAAGTTATTATTTTGTAGGTACCACGGTTAATTTAACTGGTTAAATACAACTGTTTCTTTGGGTCGTATCAAGTTATAATACGAGTCAAGTTTCAAAGAAAAAAAGAGTTATAATACGAGTAGAAAAATATGCATTATATAAACTCACTATTGTCAAAGACTAAGAAAGACAACATGTATTATGAAAGACTAAGTAGAAAGCCATGGATGGAAAGTTCGAAACCTATAACTAATTTCTTGTTTAGGAAAACTGAATGGCTTTTTGTTTCACAAATATAAAAAGTGTAACCGTGGTCTTCGAAAAAGAGAATATGGTCAAACTTGAAATCTATTAGCTAAATCTACTAGTCAAAAGGCAACACTTGGAAAAAGGAAAAAATAATCACAAAGATTCGACCGTTTTAACCAAAACACAAGCCAAGCACACTTAAAACACACCCCTCTATATAT